AACCACTGTATTAAATTCGCTGAATTTTCGTGTGATTTAAAACAAGAATAGTCAATAATTTCTAGAATCCACGATCGTTATTACAATTCGGATGGAAGGGTAGAGTATCGAGATAAAATATCTGGAAAATGGATCACTCTGCGAGTGAACCGGCGATAATCCGAAGGATTTAAAAGCGAGGAATAATTACGGCGCGTTAATTAGCCGCGTTTTATCGCGTTTGACAACGTCCAGCCGAGTGTTCCCGAACAAAAGAGCCACTTTTCCAGACTTTTCCCGTCGGACGCGTTGCGTAAGACGCGCGAGACGCGGAAACCGAGCGCACTTCCGGTCCAGGATGGCACCGCGCCAGGGCACAGCCGACGAGACACGAGATCTTTGTCTCGAGGCTTGCGGAGCTGTCGAATTCTTTTTCTACCTCTCGACCATCGTCCAGAGATCGTTGATTAACGTGGAAAATACGAGCTTCCATTTTCCCCTCACGGAATTTCAACCACAAATTTCCTCCAGCCTTTCAGCAACTTTAGGGTCAACCACGTACCTCCAAAAATGTAAATCGACATGACAGAATGTGGAGTTTCATTCGTAGCATTAATTTTATTATTATTTCAATATGTATAAACAATTAGAATATTCTTTTCCCCAGATAACACAGAGAATTAGGTGAATTTTGGAAATAGTTTGAGCGCGATTGTCATGGAGCAGCTTGAGCTTCCAATGTAAATCGACGTGACAGAATATGGACTTTCATTCATCAAACTAATTTTATTATTATTTCAACGTGCATCAAGAAGTAGAATATACTTTTCCCTAGATAATACAGAGAATTAGGTGAATTTTGGAGACCGGTTAAACGCGATTGTCATGGAGCAGTTTGAGCTTCTAGTGTAAATCGACGTGACAGAATATGGACTTTCATTCATCAAACTAATTTTATTATTATTTCAACGTGCATCAAGAAGTAGAATATACTTTTCCCTAGATAATACAGAGAATTAGGTGAATTTTGGAGACCGGTTAAACGCGATTGTCATGGAGCAGTTTGAGCTTCTAGTGTAAATCGACGTGACAGAATATGGACTTTCATTCATCAAACTAATTTTATTTTTATTTCAACGTGTATCAATAACTAGAATTTTCTTTTCTCCAGATAATATAGAGAATTAGTTGAATTTTGGAAACAGTTTGAGCGCGATTGTCATGGAACAGCTTGAGCTTGCAATGTAAATCGACGTGACAGAATATGGACTTTCATTCATCAAACTAATTTTATTATTATTTCAACGTGCATCAAGAATTAGAATATACTTTTACCCAGATAATACAGAGAATTAGGTGAATTTTGGAAATAGTTTGAGCGCGATTGTCATAGAGCAACTTGAGCTTGCAATGTAAATCGACGTGACAGAATATGTACCTTCATTCATCAAAATAATTTCATTTTTATTTCAACATGTATCAATAACTAGAATATTCTTTTCTCCAGATGATATAGAGAATTAGTTAAATTTTGGAAACTGTTTGAGCGCGATTGTCATGGAGCAGCTTGAGCTTCCAATGTAAATCGACGTGACAGAATATGGACTTTCATTCATCAAACTAATTTTATTATTATTTCAACGTGTATCAATAATTAAAATAATCTTTTCGCAGATAACACAGAGAATTAGGTGAATTTTGGAAATTGTTTAAACGCGATTGTCACGGGGCAGCTTGAGCCTCCATTTTGCATTCAATTGACACCTGAATCTGCCTTGACACTAAACCCAGCATAGCCGGTCAAATTAACCGATATATGCAAAATGGGAGGAAGAAAAATCTCCAAAGAACGAAATAAAAGAAAATATTGGAAAATTGATTATGCTAAAAAACAAATTTCAAGTTGTCACGCTGTCAAATAACCAAAGCAATGGCACTGAATGCATAGTTATAAAACAAACTTTCAAAATAGTCATTTAAGGCGTGGTAGGTTTAGCATTATCGTCCAGGGATACTAATTCTGATTTATTTCAGACACTTTCGAAGCTTTCAGACTATTCTAATCGTGAATTAATTTTCTGCAGGAAGTTTTCGCTGAGACTTGAACAAACTAGAGGAATAGTCGGGGATCGACGTCGTATCAGAGGCAAATCTCGGAGTCTTTCTTCGCGAGATTAGGTTAGAATGATCCGACCTGTCCAAGAAGAAGGTCTATCTTTAAAATCCGCGACTTGCGATCGCGGGATCAGCGAATTTCCCTGCAACTTTAACACGATCCGTCGAGTTTCCGCTTTAATTTTGTTTTAATTGCCAGCTGGCACGAAGAAGAGGCGTGCTTGTGATCGAGATGTTAATGAACTTTGCTTTCGTTCTCGGTCGCGTTAATTGGTTGGACGAAATGACAGCTTGCGACAGGTCTGATGAATTTTCCGCCGATTTTCGAACATCGGTGGACGATAAAATGGCATAAAATTTTCACGACACCCTAAATCGTCGCGTAGAAGAACACCAGTCATTGCTACTAACCAACTATGACGAACATCAACCCGTCAATTGGTATTTCCGATTAAAAAAGAGACACATTCTGATAATTTCTCAGGAACCGAGCCAAGGAGCGAATAATTCCAATTTCGGAGTATTAACTCTGATTAAATATTAAATATTCGAGGCCACAAAGATGCGAAGGAGTAGCTGATCGGCGGAATGCCAGCTCATCAGATGTCCGAAATAAAATATCGAATATCGAGCACCGGTGTCGAGTGTCCTAATCGCATTCTAAAATTCTAAGTGCTTCTAAGCGAGCATCTAAGTGCTGCCTACCCAAGGATCCTTCCTGTGTCTCGCCGCAATCCTCACCTCGTCATCGAAAAACCAAAACGTCTACCTCAAACAAACCGTACCCTCAGAGGATCCAGCAAATTCCGGCACTGCAGACAACACGAAACCACGAGCCATCGAAACTTGCCGACCACGTCTGGCGAAAGTGACAGTTTGCCAGGTGAGAACACGGTTAACGAACCGATCGAACACGGAATCGTCGCAGCGGAGGAGAAGGAGCGACGAAACGGTCTCGCCGGGTGACAGACATGTCCGTCTTGCGAGCTCCGAGATGGTCGCAGACGAGTCCTAGGTAAGAAAGTCGAACGGATTTCGCGAATTCCGTGGCCGAGACACGCGAAAAGCGGAGAAAGTGAATGCCCGCGTCGAATTCCGCGCCGGAATCGCGACGGTTCGAGCAAACCGTGCGCAACAAGTCCGACGTTGTCAACAACGAGCAAACCAGAGTCACGATAATTAAATACCTGCCAATTTTTCCACGACCACAGCTGATATTCCATCTGGCATCACCGATCGAGTGGTTTCTGAATTTCTTTCAACGATTTTGTGCACCCTCTACACGCCCACATGGGTGTTTCACGAAGTTCGACTTGCTTTGACAGAGTTTGGGGAAAAGAAGCTGAGACCGTGGCTGAGAGGTGTCAATGGACGATGAAAAGAGGATTTTTGGAAGATTGGAAGGTAGCAGGTTTGAATTAGATGGATGAAGTTCGAGAAAGTCGCGTTGGAAACGATTTAGGGTACATGGCACAGTCTTGAGTCACTGTGACGTGGTTATCCTAGGGAATTTTGGGGAATTTGTAATTGTTTCGAAGCGTAAGGCGAATGCGAGGGTTGTACCGAGGTTTGACGAGATGTTTCCAGAAGTTTGGGGAATATTTGACAGCGTACATGCTGGAACTACAAGTTTGGACACCTAAATGACAGCTTGTAAGGGATTTCTGCGATTTGTGACACAGGATTGAGGATATTCGTACTTTTTCAGGATATTCCGAGGGAGGGAGAGAACAATGCAGTGGATTTACCTTCGGGAGAGAAGTTGGAGCCACCCTGAATCCACTTTTCTCAATCGTTTAGCAGGAAAGCAACCTTTTCCCGGCTATCAGCCGGCCCGGTTTAACGGGAACTTATCCACTCGTCATTTTGCAACTCGAGTGGCATGTTCGTGAACGATTGAAGAAATTCCGCGGCATAGTTGGATCCAATTTCAAGTTTGAGCAACTTGTTTACCGAATTCTGCGAACGGTGCTGCCACGAGCGGCATTCGAAACTATTCTTAACGAGAATCTAGCATTCGCGTGCCTGTATGCTCGAGTGAAACGAAGATCCCATTTTCCCAGCTACTCGAGCCCTGAATTAAACACCGAGCAACGGCTTCGCGTCTCAATTTAGATCCTAACAACTCGGACAGACGGGATCAACGGGCCCTCTTTGTCTAGACACCTGACTCGTCCGATCAAACGTGCCCTTTTCGCGTCGGGACAAGATGCCTATCAGATTCCACGATTCGCTTATCAACCTGCAACCTGTTCCACCGCCGGACAGGTCGGGGTCCATTCCACGTCCCCACCAGAGTTCCAAATTGACACTGGATGCGTTCGTCCATGAGGATTCTCCAATACTCTGTCAACGCACCGACCTTTTCCTTCGGGAAACGACCAAGAATCAGAGTAACGACACAACGTTGCACGAAACCCAGCCTTCTCACCACGAACCGAGTGTCAACCCTCGGATGAACCTACTCGGACAACCCGCGCACCAATCGGACACTCTTCCCACCTGTGCAACTCCATCCTAGACCCTCCTATGTAACCGGAAAACCTGGACCAACTATCGCAACAACCAGGACATTGTCAAGACTCTAATGAAATGGTCAAAAAACAGCGAGGTCGAACATAAGACACCTAGGGACCGTCACAGGGTTGAGAACTGCAACTTCGGACCGGAGAGTCGCAAAATGGATGACCGCGTTACCGTTAATCACTGATCCCGACAGAATACGTATACCCATCCCGCGACCCTTGACACGCACTTGCAAACCGGAAGCCCTAGGATCGTGCTGCGAGCGAAACACAATTTGCACCATCTTCACACGCGTCGGTCGAAGAACCGGGATGACACGGATGGACTAGCCTAGCGACGCAGCACTCGCGCCGGCGGAAAACTGGTGACTTTGGGCTCACCTGGCGGCGTGATGCCGTGCGGGTTGAGATGCGGATGGTGGTGCGCGCTGCTGAGGATCCCCTTTCCTTGCAGATGATGAGCAGTGAGGCCTGGCGAGCTGGTAGCCGGCAAATGGGCCGCCGGATTGTAAAATCCAGCGGCTGCCAGGGCGGCAGCGCTGAAGTAGCTAGCCGCTGCGACCGCCGAGGACGGATGGGACAATTCCCTCTGGCTCGGCAACGGTGGCGGGGTTTCCGGCGCGGCGGCCGGACTTCCCGGTCCGCCGGGTGGCGGCGAGGCGCTACCCTGAGAGGAAGAGCCGCCTAGAATCGGCGGATGAGTGGTGGCCGCGGTCAACAACGAGGAGACGCTGAAGTCCGTCGGTCGCGGGGCGGCCGGCGCCGGCAGGTGGCCGCCGGATATGTGTCCGTTCGGGTTGCTGGACGGCGTGCCAGCGATCGAGGTGGCGAAGGCCGAGTGCTGATTCAGAGCCGTCGCTGACGCGGGGTACGCCATCCCAGGCCCCCCCGCCTCGGCCCTCGGCCCCGTGTTTGCACCCTCGACCACGTTAGCCTCCAACTCTCGTCTACGTCGTTGACCGTCGATGTCCTTCGCGGAGGAGTCCACCTCCTCCTCCACCACCTCCTCGAGCCGTGATCGCTGCTGCAGCGCGGAGGGTTGCGGAGTGCTGGCGCAGTGGGTACCCCTGCACGCTGTGTCTTGTTCGAATCTCATCGAGACGGGCGGGTGTGCCGAGTCGCGCGAGATTCCTCTTCGAGTGACTCAAACAGCGAGAGGGTTTGCTTCTTCTTTGATCTCTTTCGTTCTTTCTTTCCTCGCGTTCCGCTGGTTCCGACACCTGTACAACTTCGTTATCACACGCACAAAAACACATACACTTTGCTTCCCACGATTCTGCTCGCAGAGTCGAATCTTATCGGTGGTCGGTCCGGGTCTCGAGTATTCGTTCGCTTGCTTGCTCGCGCGCCGGTTAGCGCCGATGATCCTCAACTGGCGCGCGGTCGACCGTCGTTTTCGTCCCTACCGGTCGAATCTCGGGCATGCTCGAGCGTGTACGCGATCGTTGCGTCGGGTCGGACAAAGTCTGGGCCCGTTCAGGAGCGTAGGCCGCGATCCTCGCTGCGTTCTCGTCGCACCCGCTGCGATCTCCCCTCGAAGTCCGTCGCGAGTCGCCCGCTCGACATGGTACGTCTCGCGGCCTGATCCTTCGCGTACCCTCTTCTCTCGACGATGGGCCCTCGTACCTTGTTCGGAGCGTGGCTCGCACGGGAGATCTCGGCGCTGGGAAAGGCGCGTGGGTCGGGTGGAGTATGCACGACGAGGGTACACTTTCTATCCAAGCTCGGAGAAGCTGTTGCTGCTCGCGTAGAACCGGCGGTGGCGCTTAGACAGAGTCACACCGTAGCCCAAGACCGATCGCTTGGAACAATCGCACCCACTGTACGTGCACGTCGGGGACGTTAAATCCTCGTTGCTTCACTGTTCACTGACGCACTGTGTGTCGTCCACCAAGGTCCACGGGCTTCTAGTTCCGCACAACACGCGGCTCACCTCACTTTCTCGCGCGACGTGTCGGCGCGTACGGACGACGCGGCAAGCGGACGCGGCGAGACGCGACGCGTGCACGCGACCAAGGGTGTATACCGGGTCGCGATCGTGGTCGTGGTCGTGGTGGTCGTGTTCGTGGAGACGAACGGAGCAGCGGAACGGACGAACGGGTGGAGCGGCGTCCGACGGCCGGACGACACAGGCCGAGGACGAGGACAGTTCGGACGCTTCTATCCGCACGCGAAACGCAGGCGAGAGAGACAAAAAGGCGAGAGAGAGCGGTCTCTAGACGACACGGCTCGATGCTGTGCGCGCTGGTTGCCTCGGCCGGGGCTGGAGAGCGGACGAAAGGTGTTACTTGGGTGGCGCCGCGATGGTCACTGAGCAGCGCTAGGATTGACACCTCCTCTGGGGGCTCACCCCCACACCTCCCGCGGAGGTGTTGGTGTGCTAAAGTCCTCGTCCGGATTCAGGGCGTGTGTACGCGCGCGTCTACGTGTAGACGGGGGGCGGCCGCGTGTGCGTGTGTACAGACGGAGCGGAGTGTGCCTGCGCCGCCGAACGGACGCGGGAGGCGTGAATGCTGGAGGGCAGCGACGCGAAGACTGAGACGGTGCAGGGGCTCCTCCTCCCTTCCCCTTCGCCCGTTCCGCCGCCGCGTGGTGGGAGAAGCTGCCGCGGCAACCCAGCCGACGGTGCAACAGCGCGTGGAACAAGAACGGAATTAGTGGCGGCGCGAGTGGAACGAGGAGGGGTAGCGCTGTCTACCGGCTCCCCACCAGCGCCGCCAGCGGGCGATAATGAGCGCTCGTAGTTCGGATTGGCGTTCCGGCGCCAATCCGAGCGGCGTTGCTCTCGACGCCTTTTCCGACGTTCCCTGTCTCTCTCCGGCTCGCCGCTTCTCGCCGCTCTCGCAGTTGCCCCCACCACGGCGCCGAGTTCTGCACAGCGCTCCGGATGTTCTTCCCTCGTTCTCTCTCTCGGCCGCTGCTCCCCACCAGCGCGCGTTTAAGGGTGTTAACCGCGAGTACGCCCATTAACACCACCCTCCCCGCGGCTCCTGGTTCCGGAGCGGGGGTTCACGGTGGGTGGGGGCCGCAGCGATCGACGTTGCTCGAAGCTTCGCTGTCGAGAACGTTGCCGATTGACACGTTGCTGGATTTTCACGGGACTCGCCGCAGAACGGGCGATAAAACCAAGCAGCTTTTCTGCGCGACAACGCTCACCGACGAGATGCTTTTTCTACAGCATTTCCAGGGTGTCCAGTTTTTCCCGCACATTTCGTAAGCACCGAATTCTAGGATACTTATCCCGATTTGGGGTTCGGGGTACTTACAAATTGGCAGTAATAAATTCGAATTATTCGAAATCTACACTCGACAACGCTCGTTTGAATGTTGACGAAACGATAGCGTATCCGTTGTTAAAAATTGACGGTCGTTTAAATTCGATTAGAAATCGGGGTTCCGTAGATCGAAAGAAAGTGGCGCGAGGAATAGACAAAGCTCGAGACTATTCGTATTTCGACGAACGTGTGCAGCGATCCCAATTTTAGTGCGCGTTGTTTGAGTCAGGCGAAGAGGAATTTGCGTGCCGGTGATGCCGCGTTCCACAGCCAGCGGCGGCGAGCTCGCCGACGCGGCTCGACAGCCGGTTTTCTCCATTAATCCGGAACGGCACTTCATCAGTCATAATTCAAGCCGATTGGCCGTGTCAAGAGCCGTCCGAGTTTTCCGCGAAAAGCCGAGTGAGAAATTTTCGCGAGCTGTGCCAAAATTCGCGCTAGCCAGCGTCACGAGCATCACCCCGTGCCCGTCCCCCCGCCCCGGCGTCCCTCGTGAGGATCGTTCGAAGCGACTTGCGCCGTGCGCCGCGAGAATCGTCCACGGAGGAGAAACCGCAGGCCCCGCCCACCGCCGCCCTACTCCGCGCGCCCTGCCCCCACCGCGTCAGCTCACGTGACCCTCCCCCACCGTTCCCTTCGCGGCAGTCTCGCGCGTCCTTACGGCACCATCCCCTACCCCGTCGCGGTTCCGCCCCCCACCTCCGCGGCGAAGCCACACTCGGTTTTTCGCCCCGGTCGTCGTGTGGCCCCCTCGTCCTTCGCGCCGTCGAGTGTTAGCGAGACGCCCAACGCGTCACAGTGTTGCCAAATCCGCGAGAGCTTTTCCACCGCCACACCGTGATTTCCAGAAACACTCTGCGCGATAGCCACGCTCGCAAATCGGCCCGCGAAACGCCACTCGCGTCCTACGACGTTGCGTTCCTAGCGCTCCTGCGATACGTTATCCAGCGATTTGCGAATTTTTTCCGCTCGAAATTTCCATTCCGAAACCAAATCCACTCTTTGACCTTTCGATATATCGAATCGTAGCTTTCTCGGGATTTTTCTTTCCCCGATCGGAGAGAGGTATCGCGTAAGGGTAGATTCGCCGATTCCATTTGAATATTCGACGAGCTCGAATTTCTTCCACTCGTTGTTCCGTTACGAATTGTTTTCGGAGAAACAACGTAAATGCGTGGTGTTCGGTAAATTCTCGCGAGTCTCGTTTAATTCGCGTCGTCGAATAAATTGACCGTGGAGCTTTTCGCGCTGCAAATCACCTTCGCCGGCCCTCCCACCTCCGAAAAGCATCGCGTTCAACAAGTTTCACTCGGCGTAAGCCAATTAATTAACGGACGAGCGGTCCGGATATCGCCGGAATCGATGAATAGACAAGAATATTCCGCGAATTCGTTAATGTCCGTTAACGAGCCGTCGAATTAGACGCGTTCGCTGGCGGAACTGTAATCCGAAAGTGGCCTAAACGTGGGAACCCGATCCCGGGAATCAAACGGAATAATCCAACGATCGATTGCACGCTGTCTCGAAGTGACTCGGCTTCGATACTCGAATCTGGTCGCGACCACATTCAAGCCCGTTCACGCGCATTGTGAATCGCATGGCTAGTGTAAATAGAGTCCACGGACCGCGATCGATTCGGCTGGCTTTCGTGTTTCGAGCCTCGACAGCGTTTATCGTCGCGAAAGCGTACAATTTACGCCGGAATCCTTTCTTTCCGCCATTCTTCGAAATCCCCGAGCGGAAAACTGTCACCGAAATTCTCGAAAATCGGTAAACAAACCCTGTCTCTCGTTCTGTCGAGAAAAATTCTCGAAAAATCCTCTCCCCGGATATTTTAGCTCCGAAATAATTCGAGTAACATCCAACTTTGTAAATAATACCTACATGGTGTCAAAGTTCGAGCATCCCAGTTCCAGTTCCACATTTTGCCTGCCAGTTACACTCGATTCGGTCCAATCGAGCACAGAAACTTGGTTCTTCCAACGTAGATCGTAGTTATTACCAATACCAACCGTAATAATTTCTGTGAATATTAATATGCATAGTCAGTTGTCTAAAATCTGTCAGAGCAAGTCGAAACGTATAACGATGGCTTCTGAGGTTGCCAAAGAGCACGCACAGAGTAACCTGCTGCAGCAAAAATGCCTCGGCTACCCCCTATTGTACGACTCGACCGACATATCAATGCGACCGTCATCTGGTCGAAAATCTTTTGGTTTCGCGTGCAACGAGTGATACTTTCGCCTGGTTAAAACGAAGTGGCGTCTGCTCTGTTCTAATATACGCGATTCGGCGAAGGGAACGGCGGCGGAATGGCCACGGGGAAGGTTTCACTCGGTGTAATTGGTTTCTTGCGGGAGCGACGCGGGCTACGAAAGTGATTCCGAAAGGAAAAGTAACGCGAAAGAAGTTACCTCCTTTTCCGGGGCAAAGAAGCGCGAGTTACGCGCGATACAAAGGCTCTTCCGTCAGGATCGATACTGCTTAACGTCGGTTTCGACGGTTTCGAGACGCCACGAGCTCGCAGAGGTTCGAACAGTTGCAAAGTTCGCCGCGGGAGCAGCAACAAGCTGCACGGAGTTGTACGCTGCTGCCTTAAGCCGCGTACACGCCTCGGGAAATATTTCGTCGCTGAATCTCGTACATTTCGCGGGTTCTCGACGCGTGACGCGAGTTAATAAGCGGTTTCTGACTCATTTTCGCGATATTTGGAGAAAAACTTAGATTCGGGGGCGAGTGAATTTTGATAAGCGCGACGGTGGCTTAAGTGATGGTTTCATTGGAGAGTCTGTATACGGAGATGTATTGGAAAGAATTTAGAGTCCGTGCGAAAGGTGCGTTTCATGGAGTGTACACGCGGCTTTAGTCATTGGTTGACGGTTGCGAATCGATGCCTAGTCACTTTCGTTCTCGCGTGGCTG